CCAGAAACCTCGTCAAAATGCTCAGTTACTAATAAATATTGACTCCGAACTAAGCCGAAATTCGGATTCAGCATGTCATTTTATGGGTAATTTAGTACTTTTTTCCGTTCCGGACCCTAGTCAGATGATAGGATTTTGACGAGGTTTCTGGAAAACCATCACAAGAAAAACCATCTGGTCAAAGTCAATACCTTGCGCCTTTTGTAGCACTAGTCGAGTAGTGTGTGGACTAACAAGATCTCGAAGAACCGACGGGTAGTTTTCGAGGGAGGAGACCAGGAAGGGCCAAAGTAGGTCTCACGGCTACGCTTACCATAAAGAAGTAAAAAGTGCTAGAGACTTCATTGTTGCGTCATACGAACAAACTTGGAAGCCGCTTTCATTTGAATATAAATAAAGTTATGTTCTGTTGGGTTTTGAGCTCGTCCAGCACGCTATAAAACGAGTGATATTTGCTAATGCAGTTAAGGTCCTCCAGTCAAAAATTCTTTCCTAATGTCAGAAGAGAAAATCTCATTTGCGGATAGAAATATGCAACTTTGTATGCTCTTTCCAGCTAGTAGTATGAAAACGCTTGATAGTATTAGATAACGTCAGATTTCGCTGTTCTGACACCCCTAAAAACGCGTCAATTCAGAACTTATGGCCGAGGAAAAACTGTGTTCGGAATAATTTTTCCATGGGCCGACAGTGGACTTTTCATACCTTTAGTAAGACTATCGATTGCATATAATCAGACCTTCCCGGCTTCAAGTCGTGTATAAAGTGGGCGGACCTGTGCGGAAGTACCCAGAGGTGAAGTAATTGAAATTGAAATGGAAGAAAAAGAACCAGCTAAATATACAACTGTACACAAATCAAAATTAGTACAAACATCAAGTTCAAAAAGTACGCCGGATGAGCTCGAATTATTTGATATAGCTACATATAAAAAATATTTAAAGATGCAAAAGAAACAAAAAGTGTAGCAACAACAAGTAATATTGATCCATCTGATATGGCTAAATTGTATCAGAGTTGTGCTGATGAAAAATTGAAAGAATTTGGAAAAATGAAGGCAGGAAATTTTAATTTGTCGGCATACAATCATCAGTCGTACACCCCAACATCAACAAGAAAAGATAATGTCAATAAACTATTGAAAGAAATGGGATTTGCCAGTGATGACAGTGATAATGAAGAAGTTTAACCAATTGTCACATATTTCTTTTCTCAAATGAAAAGTAACTATACTTATAATCGAGATGAAGTCTTTTTCGAAGAAATTTTCCAGGTTTAATTTAAGAGACATTTTCCCACCCCATCAACCATAGTGCCAAAAGTCGGTCAAGTGAAATTTTTTGACCTATATATTTTTTTCTATTTTTGGATTCTATGATCAAAACTGTGGGTTTATGAAAAAATTTTAAGGTCATTTGGACTTGATTTCGCCGAGTTATAGAATTTATAAAATTAGCTCTATCGAAGATTTTCAAAAAAGCGCCCTCCGTGATTTTTTGCCTATAACTTCGTCAAATTTTATCCATTCGATTCGAATGACATCTCATTCCGAAGTCCATCAAAAGATGAACAAAATCAGATGTTTTTAAACTTTTTCGACCAGGAACTGGATTTTTCAGAAGCCTACCGTTTGAAAAATGACTAATTTTAAAAACAAAATTTTTTCAATAAAGTTTATTTTTCTCCATCAAGTAGATTGCCCGCAAAATGTAAGTCAGTGCGTTTTGTAGAGCGCACAATTCTCTATATCGCTGATGAAGGTACAAGTGGTTATAGACAGACATATTATAAATACTTCAATATTTTATTTGGCACCAGTACGTTTCCTCGAGGACGAGCGTTTTTTAACCGGACGAACATCAGTCGTTGATCCAGCTCTTTTATCTGGTGACACTGCTCGGTTTCGAGAGGAAGCTGGAGGTGATGAATCTTCATTGCCAATTCCCATTAAATTTCTTAAATTATTTCTTTGCTCAGTCTCTTCAACTATCTGATTATCGTCAAATTCATCGTCATTTTCCTCCTCCACTTCGTCTAGAACTACTGTTTCTGTTTACTTTTCACGTATCGCCTTCAAACGTGAAAAAAACGATCTGATCAGGCCAAGTTTTAAAAACTCGGCCGGTGTGAAATAGAATCTATCCTTCAAATCGTTCTTTCGTTGCATTTCAGCTGATACCTGGTTTCCAGCGAATTCTCTGTCGTACACCCTCATCGAACTTCTCAGTGAGATATTGTATCTGAGATTCATTCAGACGTGACACTTTCGTTCTTTTGGCAAAGTCCATCCTCTGTCAGGTGGTGTAATACGGTTTGTATCATCACCATCATCAAGTGTAGTCTCTTCTAATTGAAGACAAGTCATTGATCTTACTCCAATATTTTTCAGTTTCTAGTGATAGATAGCCATACCCATGTCCCTCATGGAACTGCGTTCTATTCGACGTCGATGTTTTCCTGTACGTAAATGTTGAGTTAAATTTACACGTCGTGTTAGACGGATTGGTCCTATTTAGTAACTTGAAAAACAGCAATCAGAGGGCCTATAAGACACCGGCTTGAGTTTAACACTCATAATCTATGTGGAATGCCTTGTACCTTCATCAGCGTACTTGATTTAATATAAAAAGTGCGCTTTTTTTCATGAAAGATTGCACTTTTAAAAAAATGATAGTATAATTACTTTCATGGTAATAATTGCAAGCAATTTTGCAACATATTCTTGAGGTTATGAAAGAAAGTTTTATAGTTCATTATATAGAGAATTGTGCGCTCTACAAAACGCACTGACTTACATTTTGCGGGCAATCTACTTGATGGAGAAAAATAAACTTTATTGAAAAAATTTTGTTTTTAAAATTAGTCATTTTTCAAACGGTAGGCTTCTGAAAAATCCAGTTCCTGGTCGAAAAAGTTTAAAAACATCTGATTTTGTTCATCTTTTGATGGACTTCGGAATGAGATGTCATTCGAATCGAATGGATAAAATTTGACGAAGTTATAGGCAAAAAATCACGGAGGGCGCTTTTTTGAAAATCTTCGATAGAGCTAATTTTATAAATTCTATAACTCGGCGAAATCAAGTCCAAATGACCTTAAAATTTTTTCATAAACCCACAGTTTTGATAATACCTCTCTTCTCGCTGCAGAAGCTCAGTGGCTCTTAGGGATCTATATCTAAATAAAATAAGTCTTTATTGAGTCGATAGAGGTATCTAAAAAGTGATAACAAGTTTTTAGATTTTCAATGGTTAATTTTCACTAAAAACTGTCTAAATCATAAAAAATTCATATCTTGCAAAAGCTTTGGTTTATAAGCCTAAAAGTGCCGCAGTGAGTAGACAACATCTATCTTCAACTGTGGTGTAAATTTCCGACTCCTAGCTGATCATGGTCGTGATATATTAATTAATTATTATTATTAATGGCATTTTCATTAATTAACTCATATCTCCGTCAAAAAGGTGCATGGGCCCAAACCAACTTGGAGTTTTTCACTACTGACTATTCCCTACATGATGAAAATAGTCTGAGTCGAAAAGCGTTTAATCACCTCGAGAGGTTCCCTCGTTAGTTAATAATGTAAAATGATGACAAAATAAAGACTTGAGAATTTGAAAATAATCTCAGTAGAGTATTGACCCACCATAAGACAAGATTTAAGACTTAGTAGAGAGGCCTCTGAAATATTGACGCTTTTAATATTGAAACAGATTTTGTAGAGGCTGTAGCACGAGTTAAAAGTTGTGGGGGCGAATTTTTTTTGTTAAATCCTTGTTGCTGTGTAGTTCCTCAATTATACACTTGTAATAAACAGAAAAAAGTAGTCAAAGAGAGGAAAGATATAACGATTATATCACAAATTTAAAGAAATAAATCCTTAAAATTGCGGAGGTCCTCAATATCCTATTCCCATGCTTTTTTACATCCTAAAATCTATAGGAGCGTTATCTTCACTGCCCCTACGATTCCACCGCCTATGAGATTTTGAAAGAATCGTACAAAAATAGCACGTGTTAATGTCTTACTGATCACTGCGATTGCAAAAGAGTGAGAAAACTTCGATTTCTACATAAATTTCCCTACGGGTACTTTATTTTAACATTCTACTTGTTTTTATTTGTGTGAATGTACGCACCCAAATCATAAAAAAACACTACCGTATCCCAAAATTTTTTAGACTTTCAGCCAAAAAAGTTTGCACCCTATCCTCATGCTCTCTTTTCTATTCACAGCATTTTTAAATTCCAGATTACGCTTAACTTTACACATACATCAAATTGGAAGCAGTAGAGCAAATCTAAACGAATGTTGTCATGTATGTTGATCAAGGTCAAGTTGTGGCGCATTTACATTGTGAAACAATCGATGTTTTGAAAAAAGAAACAACGTTAATAATGGATCAATTTTTCTGCAACTGGGGACAAAAGACAATATTCACAAATTGGTGACTACGAAAATTATTCAAGACATCCATGAAAATATGAAAGTTGTTGCAAATTTATACTTGATAAAAGATGTACTTGAATTGATATTGAATTAATCCATTCAAATTGTATATAAATGTAAGTATTTTTCATGATAAAATAACACGTAATTACTTTAAACGCTAAATGTTGCTTTTGTTATACGTACTGCTTAATTCATTTATTTTCGCTCATCTTGAGCGGTGACGTGCGCCATACAGAAAAGAAGAAAAAAGCTTGAGATGATATCAGCTGGTAGATGTGACCTTTCTCTTTCATTTCCTATATTAACATTCATTCAGTTCAAACGCATGTCTCATAATAAAATCTCCGATATTGTTGAGGAACATATTCTGGAACTTTTGCACCAGAAATATTTCCAAGCACAGAGAGTAAAAATTTTAAAAGTTGATGGTCTTGATGTATCTGAATAAATTGTATCCAATATCAAATGAAAGATTGGTAGTCAACAAACTTCCATCGAGAAAAGTAAACTTAACCGACCTTCATCTACGTTCTCTACCAAAAAATGAAAAATCCAAAATGATCTTTCATTAAGACTGAGCTCCAAGCAATACCTCCAAAATAAAATTTGGAGAAAACTTCAAAACACTAGCATCTTTGCTGAAAAACATAGAAGAAAAGATTCTTATAATAGTGAAGAATGTTTTAGAAATTTTTTTTGGAAGTTTTTCATTCTTACGGATAGATTCTGAACATCTGCTTTTGATGAACTGAAATAAAAGTTTTTGGGTGAATGGTGAAAGATGGATCACACTTATATAGATAAAGTGTTAGAGTACTGGCTAAAACAGATTCTTTTGATAGTTAAAGCTCGTGGTTATCACATGGAACCACGATTGAAATTGTAGCTTTTTCTTTTATTCATAATAATAGGAAGAAAATGCGCAAAAATAATGTGCTACACTATGGTCTTCTGATATGCTTAACAATCTAGTAAATCAGTAACGTATATATCTTCTATGCTCACAGCACTTATATTTAAACGTTTGATACTATTTTTTTCTTTTCAATTATACGTGTAGGGTCTTTATCGTTATTTAAGGAAAAAAACAGTTTGGCTAGTTGAACATCATACAAAAATCTAGTATTTTTCAGGATTATTCAGATTATTTTATCGAATAGTCCTAAGAACTTCCTCGATATGATAATTATATCGTTCTCTATTTCGTATATTCATGAGAAGTTTTTTTAGAGATTTAGTTTCGTTAAGCTTCTTTCTAAACAGAAGATAGTTCATCCCTATTGTCCATTACACGTAGAAAAGATATCTTTTCTTCTTCTCCTATGATATGTTTATATCTAAGGATCTGATGAACTGTATATACACATAGCGAGAGAGAAAAAGAGAAAGAGAGAGAGAGAGAGATTTTCATCATATAATAGTAACAACAATAATCATCGTCATCACAGAACTTCTTCCTTTTTCCTTCTATTATTGAACTGTTTCTTCTTCGATATATCATCTGATTTTCTTCTATTTACTTACAAATAATATACAGGTTTGTGTCCTTCTTACTTTTCTTCATCTTTTAGTACTCGTCTTCAATAACAATCATAAAACGTTTTCGTTCGTTCTCATTCTTTTTTTTTGAATTTATTCCTTTCCACAAAGTAACAAAAAAAAAAAAAAAGAAAAAAAAAGATTGATTGAAATGCTGTTCTGTTTTTTCCACTATATACTCATATACGTTTTAGTTTTTATGATATTGTTGCTTGATCATTATTAAAGTGAATGAATGATTTTAAAACTATCACTACAAGAGAAATGGAATTTCGTGTTTATGTAGACGGTATTGCAAAAATAATTTGTGATTTAACACGTGAAACAACCATTCATGATATTATTATTGCACTAGCACAATTAAAAGGAAAACCGGGACGTTATTCTTTAGTCGAACGAACACCAAACTCATATCGAACGTTGGGTCCCAATGAAAGACCTTGTGATTTAATCGAAAAATGGGCAAATAACGCACATGTAAGATATATTCTAATGCAAAATAATAGTTCAACATTATTGTTATCTTCAACAAATGAAACGTCAAAACTACAAAATAACCATAAAAGATCAAAAAGTTTAGATGGACGAAAAACACCGTCGTCACAACAAGAACAAACAAATGAACAAGAGTGTAAGTATAGTTGAAGTAGATTAATTTGTATAGCAGCATAGATAACTTTTTAATATATATCTGGGTTATCTCAAACACTCGATTCCTAGAAACACTTTTTTTTGAGCATGCAGTTAACACTGTTTTGAGTACAATAAAGTCGATTAGATCACGGTCCGCATTTAAAACAATCTTTTTACCTTTTGAAGCACGAGGATTTTGTAGAGGACGGTCAGCTAGCTGTTTTGAGCACCGATTTATGTTTAAAAACGAGAGAAATATCGAATCAAACGAGATAGTTTTACCGTTTTTGAGCGTCCATGCCCTTTTCCAGATCCTCTAGCTTTACAGGATCTTAAACAACATAATATTCACAATCTATCATAAATCCAACGACATATGTCGACAAATATCAGAGTTTAAATTTATTTTGCAAGTACACATCATTAGCAACGTCACAATACGTCAAGAGGGAAACAGCAGATTTTGTGACTTTTGTAATCTGGGCTCCGTCCCACAGGCAACCAACTTTTTTCAAATTTTGTTGTACTCCTGGAGGCTCCTTGGTATTCTTCGTGACTTCGCTGAGCCCGAAGAATTTTCCTGACTGTTTTTGAATTTTCCGGCGTTTTTTCTGCTTAGCCCCATTTTCAGTCATTTTTACAGATTTTCGGGATTCCGATTTTAATCCCTTTTTTCCGATTTTTTCTTGTACTTCGAGTGATTCCTCCAGTTTCTCGAACTTTGGGAAGTTTGTATAGGATTCTCCAGGCTTCGGCAGGTCTGGGAGTCCACAGCTGCTTGGAATTCTGCTGTTTCCCCCTTGTAATACGTTCACTAATCCACCATTTAGAAAAAAATTGTCATATGTTGACTAAGGCAAAGCAATACATTCTTGTAACCATGATGAAATTTGATACTGTACAGTAGTCGACGATGATACCTCGAATAAATGTCGACCACAATGTAATAGTGAAGTTTCATCAAAAATTTTTATCTTTTTCACATTTTTTTTCTTGTGCATGACTGACAGTTGGGAATACTCAAAATGAATTCCTAGTTGATTTTGTCCGGACCCATCGAATAACATTTCTTCAATAGTTGATAAAATACAGACAGTAATGATTTACTTCGCACATTTTGACATTGAAATAGTACTGTGAATAATCTGTGCTCAAAATAATCTTTTTTTTCAAAAATAAATCGGTAATCAATTAAGACTGTGCTGAAAAAAATCCTCATCTTCGACTCCTAAAATATTTTTTTCAATTCAACTAAACAGATTATCTCTTATTGATAAAAAGAGTTTCGTTGGGCTAATTGATCTAATTTTTTAGTTTGAATCTGTCGGAAAAAATTTCTCGAATTGTTGTTGACATGAGACTTTTTAGTAGAAATTTGTTAAGTACGTCTAATCCATTCACAGATTAATGTCTATTTCAAGCAATTTTTTGTCAAATTACTCGTTCTGATAGTCTATGGGTATTAAACCATTGACAAACATTACTAATAGCTGATATCCATTATCCACTTGTGTTGACTAAAGCTAATTGAGATCTATTCCAATCTTGTTGTCTAATTGTAAGTGTTATTTTGATAATCACAATTGATTAATATTAAAAGAAAAGATAGTACCATGTTGTCGCCAAAATGAATAATGAAGTGTGAATACTTGAACAATGATTATCTTTGTCTCTTTTCATTCTTTTTCTCCATCACTGGCGGTACAAGTTCCTTTTTTGTATGTAATCATCTATACATATCAGTAAATATAGACTAGGTATACTTTGAATTCAATTCAATTCAGATTATACGCACATCGCTTAACAACATTGAACAATTCGAAAAGGAAACATTGTATGTTCGTTGAGTATATTAAAAGGTTTGTGTTTTCATACACAAATTCGTATTCTTTTAGAGACTATAACCATATAATTAATCGGGTTGTTGAACATAATTTATGAGGTTAGAGGCGTTTAGTTTTATGTTCTGTTTTTTCCAAGTAGAGAGAGAGATGTTGTATGTTATTATTATATATCGAAATAATGAATGAGTGTAAACGATGAAGAAGAAGATACACAATTCTTTTACAAAACACCGATAGTATCAATGTGTAAATAATATAACCTATAAACAACTAAGAAATGATATCTTTGTCCTGTTTATATCGCGTTGTATAACAGAAACATGTACGTGTATACCCAAGCTTCTGTGCTTTACACATACGAATAGATGAAGTTAATTTGATACATTTGCATGATTCTTTCTCTCTTTCTCTCTCTTTCTCTTCGTCCAACATACTTACACATTGAGATTATAATCGGCTTAGGACTATGTTGAAGAATGACGAATTAGAGCCAAAACAAAGAAGTTAACTACTTTCTTTATGATGATGTCACGAAAGAGAAATTACATCATTCAATGACTATAAACGATATGTATGGGAATTCTTTAAATATAGAAAAAATGATTAACTAGTGGATTAGAGTGATAGAACACTCGTTCATTTATATGTGAGAGCGTTATCTAGTAGATGCCTGGAGAAACCAGATGTGGTTACATTACGTCATCTAGAAACGTTTCTTTAACGAAAGAACGGGAATCGATCCTGTTACATATAAATTGGATAATAGATGAGGTAAAAAAAAAGTCAATTTGATTAAAATCACATTCTTTTTAAACTAATCTAAAATGGAATCTTTCTAAAGAATAGTTTAAATTATCAGGTGTCACAATCAAGGCTATTGTAACCCTCCATTTACATTTTCTTAACACCTGTGCAACTCAATATTCGTCACATCAAGTTATGATAAAAATTTCAACTTGAATCGATTTACTCATCTTGTAACAGTTAAGAGTGACGCAAGGGTCAAAATAGGTCTGTTCTTACAGTATAGTTTTTTCCAACTTGATGTAATAGTCGCAAAAATCGAATTCTGAATTAAACTGAACATCTGATATTTTTTCCTTATATATGTGCAAAGAAATTAATTTGAAAATTGCTCTGTCATTCATTCCAGTTGCATTTAAATGAATCATCTGAAATATATTTTGAAAGCGCAAATTTTTTTCATAGTATACACTAGGTATGCACCAATTAAAAACTGCTGTTTGAGCTTCCATGAAAGTTATTATAAATTGCCTATAAAAGATTTCTCAGAGTCGCGGAACATCTCATTTTGTAGAGAAATGTTTAGACTATAATTTCATATAAGCAGTTATCTACGGTACAACTATGAGTATTCTAAATTCAGAAAAAAAAACCTATGTGAACAATTTTTTTGCTAACTTTAGTACATTTTAGAATGCTCACACTTTTGTTAGAAATAATTTCAAGTGTTTTATCACAGCTGAATTTTCTAGAGCTAACATTTCTCTACAAAATGAGACGTTCCACGACTCTGAGTAGTTCTTTATAGACGATTTATAACAATTTTCGTGGAAGCCCGAACAACAGTTTTTAACTGATGTATGTCTAGTATACACTATACAAGTTAGACATTAATTATTTTCTCGTACTATTTAATTTTGATAGAAGAAAAAAAACAATCGCTTTCTTAATGAGAAGAGATTTCGAGAAGATATAGTTTACTTATAGCTGTATTTGCTTATTGTCTCCAAACTTTTTTTCTATTTCAATCTAATCTATCCTTCCGTTTTGACACCAATGAAGGAAGATTGTTTATTTTACTCTTCCCGTCTCAATATCTCTTTTCATTAACCTAATTTTTTTACTCTTTTCTTTTTTCTCACTCTCCCAAAAGCAAAGAGATAAGCAGATAAAGTAACATTCGAAAACATTGATGAACTTTACACAACGTAAAAATGTGTCAAGGTATATCTATACGTACACACTCATTTTAAATGACTTTATTATATCCGGGACAAAACAAATCAAAAAAAAAAAAAAAGGTCAACTGATTTTTGACAAATGTTGCACATATATGTACATGTAACGTATGTTCATCCTTGAGTCTGATACATTTCTTACGTTCATATTTATTTATCTAACAGTTTGTTGAAAAAATATAATCTATTTACCTATAGGAATAGGAATTGACATTCAGATCATTCTTGAATTTTCTACTATTTGTTAAATATTTCTTATGCTAAATTTTCACTATTTAGTTGAATTCTAATCTGTCTAACATAGTATTTCAATATTGAGAATAAATAAATATCTGATGTTTTCAATTGGATATTTTTCATTTTAGCGGATGCAATTTCTTCAAGTATGTCTCATCCTGTGATCTTAAATCATAATCATTTTCGAACAATACATGGAATACCGTCAACATCTCAACCGAAGAAAAAACGTACTCAAATTCCATTTCAAAATAGTAACGCTAACAATAATAATAACAATAATAATAATAATAATAATAATACTCATATTTTAACTCCTTCATTGTTCGATACTACGAAACCCTATCGAACTATTCATATTGTTGAACAAGATTTTGGTACACTCGATACAAATCGTCCATCTAAATATAATAAAGTTATACAACAACGAACGAATCTCTCTGATCATTTGATTTCATCTACATCATTGGAAAATCATCATGCTAAACTTGTTCCATTATCAAATTCAAATCATAATACAATATCATCTTCTACTTCAACAGTGAAATCATCCTTATTAATGAGACCAAAATCTTCTTCATCTATATCGACATCAACATATTCGGATAATAATTCGAATAGTAGTGCTTTTCGTCTTATAAATAATCGACCACAAACGACAATAGCAACACAACGACAATCACGACGAGTAATTAAAAATAATACAAGTGGTCACGGTTCTAATAATGATATTTCACAATCAAGGATAATGATAAAAGATAACATATTAAAAGAACAATATCTGACATTAATTAATATTTTAAGAGCACAAGAAATACAAGTTATACAACAACAAAAAGAGCTAACGGATAAACAAAGAGGTAATATACTTCAAGCATTCGTCTTTTAATCAAAAATATTTTGTAATCTCTCAAGTGTAAAGTGACATATCAATAATAATCGTTAGAAATATATCTTACAAGAAATTAGCAGATGATCGACTTGTTCAATTAACAGTCAACTTTTTCATAAGTGCTCTACTTTTTTGACAGAATCACAGTAGTTCAAAGAAAACTTATATGCCGTTGAGCAACGTCTTATTTTAATAAGAGCAAACAGTTCTATTTCAATGGATAAGAAAACAAACGTTGACAGTTTCACTTGTGTCTATATTCAAGTTTCAAACTTTAAAATTGGATATTTCCAAACTTTTCATCAGCTTTCATCGTCACAGTATAACACGTTCAATTTGATGTCGTAAACATATTTATTGAATTGAATGTTTTATGAAAATACTTCTCGTTTGTATTCTTTTTCATAATTTGTCAAAATTTTCTATGACATTCTATGTTAATCATTCAAATATTCTCTATGCATTTTTTTTAGAAATTGAATATCGTGAAATTCATTTATCTCAAACAGAACGTGATATTCAAAATATTCAACATGATATTCATTTATTAGAAGATCACGATCGTTATATAAATGATGAATGTGAACAATTATCACGTGAAAATTCACAAAAACTATTCGATTATGAATTGCAGAAACATTTAAAATTACGACATGATTATGATGAACATAATAAAAAAATTCATGTTAATAAATGTGTAATGGAAACAAAAAATATGGCATGTGAACAGTTAGAACAAGGAGTTAAACAATGTCGTGATGACTTAGATAAGTTACATTTGGATACAACTGAACAAGTAAATGAAGAGAAAGATTTTTAGTTAAAAAATTGTATCTATCTATTTTTCTTTAGGAAATTGGACATATTAAAAATGATTTAGAACAATTGATATCATCATTTAGTAGTCAAGAACAATTATTACAATTGTTACAACAAAGAAATGATGATCTAGAATATTTACTGAATGAAAGACGAGAACAAATGAATGATTTGGAACGAGAGTTGTTAAAAGTAGATGAAATACTTATTAACAGTAAGTTTTATTGAAACATAAAATATTATTTAGACTAATATTAACATGTTTTTAGCTGATTTTTAACACAAAAAAAAAAAGGTAGAATGAATCACCATCTAATTTTAATGCTTTAAATGCAATACACTTTACAATTATTTTGCTGAACAGAAACATATTTAGAATTACACGGTCTATCATAATGCATGAACTAGTTCACGGTACACGAGAGGTGATTGAATTCGAAAATCTGATGTGCAGTTAGTCATGTTATAGGGAAAATTAAAATCTAGTGGAATTTAAAATCCTCAATCAACATATTCACAAACACGAACACTCAATTATTCGACTTTAGAGCTCGACTTTTAATTTCTGAAAAACGCACGATGTTTATGGACATCAGATGAAGATTAGGAATACTGACTACGAATCCGAAATCCGCAACTTATGAGCAAAACAAACGTTTTGTGATCGGTACTCGAACTTATGGCTATATTTTGATCGGATAGAGACTTTTGGATTCGCAGTCATTGTTCCTAATCTTCACCGCACGATTTTGCATTTTTCAGAAATTAAAATTTGAGCTCTAAAGCCGGATAATTGAGTTTTCGTGCTTGTGAATATGTTGATTTTTGATTTTTACTAATGAGAAAATTAAATTCCACTGGATTTTAATTTCTCCTACAACATTTACATGCAAATAGAACTTTTAAACAAGAATTTTTTTTCAAAACGTCAAAAGGGTTTTTTTAAATGTTGTGCATCCAATTTTAACTTAAACTTTTAAAATGGATAAATTCTGCTTAAAGATGTAGATGAAATTGGTTGAGACCAAAATATTATACGATTCAACAGTTGATAACTTAGATAAAATAAGGCACTGAGCATGTGATTAAAATATTCAGTTTCTATGCTTTTGTTTCATCATTTGGACGCACAGATATTGTCGGTGGACAGTATAAACATGCACAGAAAAATGTGTTCATGGAGGTCTTAGACGTAGACTCAAAAAAAGACGCGTATAGTTAGTGTTATTACATTATCTTTCTCTTTTCTGAGTTAGACTCTTCAAACGACCTAAAATATATAAAGATTTTCTTGAGAAAATAATACCACACTGTGGATCATTATGCCAGTTGTTTGACCGTTTTTACGCATTTAAACTGGGAACATATTAATGCTAAATGTGGCAGTGTTGTTATGGTCAAAAAATGAATATTTTATAATGTTCATTTTATGGTTATTTTTATACCAATATGAGTCGCTAAATTTTCGTACGGTTTTTAAAATTAGTTTCTTTCTGACTGAAAATCTTAGAAGGACTAAAATGCAAAAGTTTTCAGTATTTTTGGCTTCTTAGAACTAACTTCAGAACTAGAAGCTACTTTTTTAAGACAAGTATCGATGATTGGTATAAATCGAAGAAAAAAATTCTAAAAATTTTTAAAATAATCAGTGCGATATTTATATTAATCATGATAACAAAACAATAGGGCGTATGATATATTAAGAAATTGATAAAAACTGACACTATATGTCAGTGTTAAATGTCAGTTTTCTCTTGATGTATAAACTATTCGAAAATAATATGTTACCAGGCAGCTACTGACTTTAAATAGTTAAATACCTGTTTTGAGATAATGAATTACGGGGAAACAATGAATAAAAGACGATGAGTAGCTTTTAGCCGATTAAAAGTTTATTTTTTAGGCACAGGCTATGGATAAGTTAGTAAACGTCAGCTTCTGTTGACTAGAGTATTTTCAACAGAAAGATTATCTAAGGATGATTCGCATCTCATCTTGAAGAGCAAAGAGTCAGCTTGAGCGTCGTGTCCTACTTGCTAAAACAGTTTGTAAATCATTTTTTTGAAAATTTTCTTTGCATCTTCTAAAAGTCTTTTAGTAATATTTTTGAGTGATTGAACTGTACTTAACATGATACAGATTTGAAAGTAAATATAATAAACTATTCAAATATGTGCATTTTCTACTGATGTTTTGAAAGTAGCCGTCATTCTTTTTGACCAGACCTTCCTGAAATCTGATAGGTGCACTATTTCACTGTTATGCGCATGAATGTACTATTATTTCGTCTGTAAGTGCTAAAAAGAAATCATTTTAAAACTGATAACGTTATTCTATAATGCCGATAGATAATAATCGGCATCATTAATTCAAATTGTTGTGCTTTGAATGCTAAATAATGTCTCATGTAAGAACACTTAATACTAGTTTTTCACATAACATGTACGTCGTTCTGAGAGATAAATATCAGTTTTTGAAATCCATTGTTGTCGATACTTATGTGGCACAAGAAGTAAATCTAATCTTTCTCTAACAGCTATGTTTAAAAAAAGACTAAAATTTTTCTTTTTTCCATCAATTAGGTCTTATCAGTCCATATGGTTCAAATTCGGATATGCCAGTTCGATTACAATTTGTTAATAGTACATTGTGGAAATTATGTCCAAGTGGAATATGGGTGTGAATTTTAGGCTTATTAGAAATTTTTTATACCAATTTTTATTCTCACATATATATAGATAGGTTATTTTTTTAATATATTGATATTAAACAAGTTTTGTATGACATTCAGATAAAAATTCTACTACAGCGATCGACAATAAAGAGGGGTACGTTACTTGCGTGTAGCTTGCTTTAACAATATGAGTCATCGAAATAAAGAAGAAGGATCTCGAGATTCCTAGTAGACAGGCTACAGTTTCGTTAGACGACTCAACAATTCATGATTTTATTACTTGTGTTAGCTAAAAATATGTGGTTCCTTAGCCGGACACTTGAAATTCTATAGCTGCTCGTTGATCTAGTACATAAGCCATATGTTGTTCGTATCTTTACATTCCACTGTTTAGCTGTTTCGCTGAGGAGATATATACGTTGTACTATCTTAACCACTCGCTACTATGCCGATGTCAGCTCAAACTTTAGCGGAAACTGGTGCCGCTTAAAATCACGAATATAGGAATAGTAATCTCAAAATATTAACCGAAATACATTGTGCATTTTTCTCGTAGGAGATAAAATTTGACCTTCAAATCTGCGATGTCCATGGATATAGCAGGCAGATAGATTTATTGCTAATTCTGTCCACTTCTCAACAGAGATTTTATTAGCATGTTTTGAAAATGATTTTAATTTTGAGTGCGGTAAGAAAACAAAATTTCTGAACATTTCTGAGTAGTGATAATAGTCTGACGTCTTACATGATAATAGTCTGACGTCTTACATTTCATCAATTCCGTACGGATTTTCACTTCTAGGATAGTATTATCATTGTACTAAGTTGGTGTCTGTATATTTGTTACTAAAATTTATATTATTAGAACATTCTCACTAAAATTCCACCATAGATTCACTCCTTTCACTTCATTTAATTTTGCATTTATCTCTAAATTCTATGAAAAGTACATTTTCGTCATCGAGAAAAACAACAACATAAAGAACAACATTGAGAACAACGTAGAAAATCTATATCTGGAAATTGTTGAACATTCAAAGACAAAATTGCACTACCACTGGAATATTTTTCAGCGCGAAAATACTACTATATTTTAAAAAAATAATAATTCTTTTTTCATCCTCACATCTTTCTAAAATAAGAGCAAAAAGCACAATAAATTTGAACGTTATAATTTTATTTTTGTCATTCGAACTCTTTTTATTGTAAATTAGAAACATGAAGGGCTGTCATTGTTTTAAACCTGATAGTGTTTTATCACTGAAACAGTTGCGACAATTATCCAACATCAAAGATGATGAGAACTTTAAAGCATTACTAGAAACTTGTAAAGATGAGTCCACGGGGAATATAAATGTTAGTTTATTAATTAAACGCATTAAAGATGATAAACATGTTTTTAAACATTATGAAGCAGTTACGAAAAAATTAGCTTCATTTGAAAATGTAGCATTATCACCAGAAATTTTTATGCAAACATTAACAAGTGGTACAAGTTCAAACACGCCAAGAGGTAGTCGACCTAGTCAGTAATGATATTATATTTATATAAAATATAAATTTAGCCATAACCTTTATATATAATCATCAAGTGAAGTAAAATTGTATTCCTGTTTAAAATAAATTATCGATATTTTGATTTTTAAAACTGTATTTTGTTTGCATTGAATGAATTTGTTTTGTTCAGACCGCTTTTTAATTTATAAAGAAGCTCAAGTCTTGAGAATTTGGTCTGACCTTTTACGCTCACAGTACTGGAGACTTTTGTTCTATAACGTTTCTCATCAGACTTGATAATATACACACCGAATGTCACCAAATTATTTCAGTGATTCAATCTTTAGAAACTCATCCTCTTATCAATCGTCATCCTGATGTATTTGGAGAAAAGGCAACTTTATTGTCAAAAAAGTTTTGGCTACGAAATTCATATTCTCAGCTGCATAAATGTCAAAATACGAATACGATGCGACGGTTCAAAGTCAAAAAAACTGTGGATACTGTATCTATGGTATTTTTGGGATCTATAAGTAGTTGGGCAGTTACAGGAACTACGGAGGTATTGGAATATTGAGACTAACGAGGAAAGGACACCAAGTGATAAATTGCTTCTAGCTTAAAACTTAGTGAACAATAGGTAACCGAATGTGCTGATTCCGGATACTAACATGAGACGGGCCGCTAGGCCTCCAAAGACTGGATTTCTAGAAAACCAGTTTTTCATAAACTCCAAAAACGCTCCAAAACTTTTCTTAATAAGTTAAAATTGTAGCGCGCGAAATTCTGATCACAATGAGACATTGCCCAGCTCTACATGATATTTCTTTGCAAAGTTATGGAATTTACAAGAAAAGCCCTAAATGTT